TGCACTGATGAACCGATAGAGACGGCCAAGCAGACTTAATTTCTGACAGGTATATCATTCTCCTACACAGGCTAGCTCTGGATGCAGTCTTCAGGACTGGGAAAAGGCCATGAAATATCTTTTTCAATGGGACTGTGTCTCTGAAGAAGTCTAAAGAACAGCCTCTGCAAAACAGCTTAAAAGATAAACAAGGCTATTGATACTTAATGATTTGTACTAACACTGTTGGCCAAGCAACAGGGACAGAAAGTGGCAGTGCTAACAGGGCTGAAGCTTAAGACATCTCTTTGGCACTGACCTTTGCACCTTTCCATTCTATTTTGTTTTTCTTTCAGATTCACTTCTTGGTGAGATGCAGACCTGAAGGCTTGAAGGCTAGTTGGAGCACAGCTGCTCTGTGGGACCCAAGTGAGACCCTGGCATCAACAAATCAGTTTTGTGTTTCTTACCAGTAACCTGTTGTTGCTGAAGGGACTTGTGGGCAGGGTTAGGATCCAAGTGCTGACAAATCAGCAAAATGACAAAGTTGACATCTGTGCAGCTGACCTAAGACACACTCAACCAGCAGTGCGTGGATTCTGTGTTTTCTGTCTTAGTGTACTATAGGCGTAACAGATGCTCAAAGACAACACTTCCCAGTAATGTGTGTCTCCCTGAGGCAGCGAATTCACTTACTGTGAAGACCGTAGACTGTAAATGCATCTTGTGGGAAATGCATGTGTGCAAATTAGCTTTTTGTGATTCTACAAGCTATACTGAAGAATCTGATGGATCCTGGCTAAAAAAGGAAAGCCTTCTGGTGAAGAAGCATTGCATGGTCCCACAACTGCAGTCTTGAGTAGTATGACAAGGAACAAACAACTTAAAACAAAGAAATGTGGAAGTAAGGAAATGAACTGACAGAAAAAAGTGCAATAAGGAAGGATGGAATAGTACGACTTGGGAAAAATAGCTCAGTATAAGGATTATTCTGAGATATTTTTTATACTCCGGGATTACTCTTTATAGCTAAAATCAGAGCTGCAACTTCTATTTTCAGTAACACCTATCTTGTTTCTCTTCTCAACAGATCACAGCATCAGAAACTTGAAAACCAGTATCACTTTTTTCTTCTTTTTAAACAGAGAAGTATGCACTTAAAACTTACTTGAGGTAATTTTATAGCTGTAAATTTTCACAGCTGTTAACATCCTTCCATTATTGCCTATTTATTTCCTATTTATTTATTTATTTCCTATTTATTTATTTCCTGTTTATTGCCTGAAATCATGATAACAAGAATCTTGAATCAAGAAAGATTTTAAAGTGTTGTACCCCAATTTTAAAGCCAGAGATACAAAAATGTATCAACAGGTATTATTAAAAGCTTTCACAGTATTTTTTTTTAAATAAGTAGGAAATTGCTCATCCTTTTCTCCAGAGAATGATTATATAAAAGGACATGGCAGATGTGACTGAGGTGGCTGGAATTTCTGCTGGTATTAGCAAGCATTGAAAACACTGTATCTTGAAATCCTTGCCTGATACAGAAGTCAATAGCTTTTTATTAAGTCACGAAACAGATGAGATCAGTAAAAAACTAGCACAGATTTCATTGTATGCAACATTGGGGGAATGTTTTGGAGATTAAGCATTTAAAAAAACCAGATAAAAATAATTACTCTATTTCTAAATAGGCTTTCCTGCTTTCAATTTTATCATCATATTTTACATAAAACATTAGCATAAAAACAGTTGGAGGGAATTTCCAATTAGCTTAGGAACAATTATATCTTGAAATAGTCACTACCATCTGTAACTCAGAGGTTTCACAATATGGCTCTCTTATTCTGAACATCTACCTATGTACTTACGCTCAGGCCTATCTACAATGTTTCTCTACATGCAGACAGCCCCCTTTTACAACATTACCATCACTATCTTGACTACTCTATCCTGTATGTCTGGTCTCTTCAATGTATTTCTATCTTAGATTTATGCAAAAGCTTTTGAAATAACCCTTTTGGGCCCAGTGCACTAACAGCCTCAGTCTGTTTTTTTTTAATTGCTGCACTTGTCTACACCAAAGTCACTGTCAAATTAAATATTTTACTATGCTATTCAAACTATAATATTTACTTACTTCTAAATCTATTTAAGGAAACATTATTTGAGATGTTATTTCTATTAATTATTTTTTTTAAAAGTTACCAATGCCCAAAACAATAACTAATATCTTTGTTTATCTCTCATAAAACAGAAGACATTTTAGAGGAATATTTAAAATTAGCTTGTTAACTTTCACATGTATTAAAAATCTGAATGGTAAAAGATGATTCACTTTTGTTCTTGAATAGCATTTCCATTTTATCATTAACCTATCCTTGACCAAACTGAGCATAACATATATATAGCAATGCCATATGTAACGTTTATGAAACCAATGGGAATTCTGTTAATGATTTTAATTGGAAAAAAATACAGTGCAGTATAAGGACAAACTAGCCTGGGGCAATTTTCATCAGCTTGAGAGCACAAAAGTGCTACAGTGCTGAGGTTTCTTACTTTTTATACAAAAACTCAAAAGCTATGGATGTTTGGGGTTTTTTTCAATTATAAGATAATTTTACATTCCTTGTGGAAATTTTCATACGGAAGAAGACTCACATACTGATTACAAAATCTGTTTGGCTCAGTGAATCAGTTCAGGAAAAAAAGTAGGGAAACAGAAAAGATGCTTGATTTTATCTTGCAGTCCTGCAATGTTCAGAAAGTCTAACTTAGTTCAATCTTCTATAGAATCTAGGCTTCTCAACAGCCATCTTTCTCTCCTTGTATCCCAGTCTGATTGTAAGGTCTGATTTCATCAGGTCTACCATCTTCAATGAATGGTTTACTGTTCAAAGTTTACCATTTTTATGTCTGGAGTATTAAAATAATATTGTGTGAGAGTTTGAAAAGAGCTGCTAGATTCTCGGTGACCACTGAACCTGCTGGATATGAGCTAGATAAAAGAGCACATACATTTCTAACAAGGCCACGGAATTTCTTCCTTGACAATGCAGTATTATCTTATAAAGAGGCAGTTATTCTCACATTCAAAACTGCATGTTTTCATCACTTTCTAAGCACTACAATAGTATCATTTTTCACTCCAGTCACTCTACTCATGTACCCACTCTTTTCTTCTTCCCATTCTTTATATTTTTCCTTTTGCAACTCTAACATCTTGTTAGGCTGTTACCTTCCTAATTAAAAAAAAAAAATAATCTAAAAGTAGCCTCTTTCCCCCTACTGCTCTCAGTGATACTAGGGTTTGCATTTGCAAGGGCATCCATTACGGTGTCAGAAGTCTTTTGTCGCCAGTGTGCTCAGTCTTCTGCACCTGTAAAGTCCCTGGGAGCCTCCTGAGGCAGGGAACATAAGCAAAGATAAGAAAACCAAATATGGAACTTTAGATGCTGCCAAGCACAATTTAGATATAAGCCCAAAAAAGCAGTGCAGGAATAAAGTATTATACACTTGTGTTTTGAACTGACACAAACCCTGCAGTACCTTTTATTCAAATAAAAAGAAGAGAGAGACATGGCAGTGACACTTGTATTTAAGAAGGCAAAGGCAAAGTTTCAGACAGCTATGTGGTTCAGGTTTCCTATTAACTAGATCTAATCATGTTCCCATTTGGTGTGGGACTTTTAGGCTATACTTTGGAGACATGTAAATCCAGCATTCTAAATTACCTTTGTGGAACGACATGCCCATTTTGGGGATAGTACAATACTGAAGCTGCATGACCTCTCCAGATCTTCCTTTTGGTTTTAATTATTTATTTTTTGTACAAAGCTCAGCAGGGTAGCTTTTCATATTTATGAAAGAAATAATTCATATGACACTATGGAACATATATGAGCTATGTCACATACATAAATTATAGTATTACAATAATCCGATAAGCTTAGCCTCAACATCCACGCTACATTGACTGCTGTTAAAGAAATACTTGTCTTTGGTTTTCATGCCAACAGCTTCCTCTCTGAGTTAAGATGATCTACAAGTCCTCAAACTTCTCAAGTCTGATCATTTTTGATAGCTAGGAGCATTTCTTGTTATTTTCAGTATCAAATCATGACCTTGTGTGACATGGTTTTATAAGTGGAGAACCAGAATTTCTCAAATTTGACTTGTAGTAAGGCCTGGGTAGACTCACAACAGGAATATAAGCAGGATGTCCTGTTTTATTTTTTCCACATACTCTTAGAAGCGATCTGTAGTGTTCCTACAAACAGGAAAAATCTATCTGCTAGCAAGACTCAACACTACAGAAAGGAACTATGTAAGTAAACATAGATGATGGCTGGTGGAGAAACACTACTAGACTGAAAACAGGGAAACATGTAAACAGCAAATCCCACATTTAGTGGTCTAAATTATATGTTTTTCAGTTAACAACCGTTTAATAACCATGAAAATCTTTCAGTGTTAAAGTAGCAACAAGAGGACTAAGCTTTCTTCATCTAATAAGCAGAAAACAAAGCTAAACCACACCCTTTACTCCACTCTGTAGGTATAAAACAAGCAACACAGATAATATATATGGTATTTCTCCAACTTTTTTTATTACTTCTTTCATAAAAGACTGATTCTGATTTTATTTTTTTTTTGGAGAGGTCTTTATGACCACACTCAGAACTAGTAACTTTTTTCCCAGAGTAATTTTCTTTATTCTACTAATCAGACTAATTTTTCCAAACAGGAAACTGCATATAATCACCCTGATAGTATGCACAAAATTAAAGATTTAAGAATAAATAAAAAGGTACACATACAAATTGTCTTTTTACAATTTGCAGATTATCTCTAGATTCAGAGCACTGTGTATGAGTCACCCAGGAGAATTTAACTCAGCTCTACTTTAATAATCATCCATCTCTGATTTCTTATGGCATGTATTAGCTAGAGACTTATTTTCAAATATTACACTCAAGACTGAGTGAAGTTTAGGGAAAAATTAAAAAACTTACCTTCAAAAACTCTGAAGGCTTTCTTGCAGCTTGGTAGAGGCCATTTTGCAGAATTTGATTTCTGAAAATTTTCTTTTAACTTCAAATATTCCATAGGGAAAAAAGATTTGGTAGAGTTGTTGAGTTCTACAATAATTAATGGGAAAGAATGTATACATCAATGCTATAAATATAGCAATAATTTGCATATGTTTATATTACAAAATAAAAATGCCTTATCTACTGTGTAATCCTTTTTCTGATTATAACATCTCTTAAATTGTTTTAAAATCACATAAACCCAAGCATTTCTAGATATAGCAAGAACAACTCTTAAACATGCTGTTTTGATTCTGTTCCTCTGAAAAAAAGCATTTAGGGAAGATGATGTCAAATTCTGGCAAAATAAAGTACATAATAAATCAGGCTATTTAACTTAGATAAGTATGATCACCTCTGTGAATGAAAATTACATCTATCAAACTAACTGAGGTATTAATTCTCAGTTCATATTGTTTTTTGTTTAACACTATCACTCAGTAACAGTCAGTAATGAGGGGATGAGTCTGAAAAACTTTTTGGAGATTTTTTAAATGTTGTAGATTAACAGGAATTAAGAACAAATTTGTAGAATGACTCACGAGACATTGCACGAGTTGACGTAACTTATTAATCTCAAGAAATCATTACTTTCTCCAGTTATTATTTGTGGAAACATCTACATGGACTGCAACTCAAAATTGTTGAAACTACCCTATCCATAGCAATACAACAATGGAAAACAATTTAAAAATAACTGTGTTTTCCTACAACAGAAAAAAGTGATCTGCTGGTAACAGACAGACTTGCCAACACAGTAGTTAACAGGTAAAACTTCAATAATTCCTTCTGTACCTTAAAAGAAGTAAAAGGCCCTTCACAGATCTTTGGAAAGGCTTATGTATTATTACTTTACCTGGTTCATTGCAATTGTACATACTTTTTCAATAATCAGTATTTTATGGAAGGATCAAATATTTTTCTCTGGCAAATTTGAGAAAGCTAAGCTTTTTGTGAGCAGGCTCCAGAAGAAAGAAAAAATTCCAAATGCCCTTCCATTGCAGTAGCTTTTTCTGTGTAAAAGGAAGGCATTAGCAGATTTGAAGCAAACTATATGCTGGTCTTTTTCTAAAAATTATCCTGTGTTTCACCATGTCAGAATGCAGGTGGAATGAAGCTACAGAAAATATGCAGAGTACAGAAATCTCCAAATCCTTCTATCTCATTATGTGAGAACAGCGCTAGTGCACCCATAAACCTCTGTCAGTGAAGGAAGAGAGGCCATTTTCTCTCATAAATGTAGAAGGAACAAGCTGCGTAGTTTTCACTAGGGGTTTTTAATTTTCATATAAGAGCTTTATACACTGCTGAACATATTTGGATTAAGTACTATTTGGATTCAGAGAAATGGCCTCTGATGAGACTCTGCTTGCCTCCCACAGCATCAATAGATTATTTTAGTTGCTTTCTACAGGCCAGAAAAATTGTCTCAGTTCTTTCAACTTTATTGTCCGAACTTACACAACTGAAACCTCCAGCGATGCATCTAACTCCTGTGGTTCAGAAAAGGCAGTGGTGACAACTCCTACTGGCTTTTAGAAGGTAGTTAGGCTTGGTTAGGAGGTTAGGCTTTTCATGAAAGATCCTTTCAGGCTGGCCAGGCCACCTGTCTTTCTGTATGTATGTGACCCTTTCCCTGCCATGTGCCTGGACCTCCCATGCACAACCACTACACTGAATCTGCCGTTCTCCGAAGTGGTGGATTTATTGTACGTGAGTGCTGAATCCAGCCCTTCTTGGAAGCACTTAACATAAATGAAACTTCATGAGTGGAAGTGTAGA